AACTGCAGCCTTATTTTGGCCAAGTGTTGGGGTCTCAGCAAGCTCCAAGATCCACCTATCTTTCTATCTTAGAATGTGAATTCAGAAGAGCGATAGTTGTTGTGAAGATGCATGTTAGTGTGTTTATTTGAATTAATAAACAAAGTCAGATTTCCTTGTCAGAAAGTAAGTATGATTTCACTGACAGTACTGACAATGAAGACATGCTCTCAATTAGGTTATATGGAGGACATATTCCAGAGTTCAAAGAGTTACGTATGGACCTTTAAAGATCTGACAAAAATATGATTAAGAACATCAAAGCACTTCGAATCTTATGGTCAAATAAAATTCAAATTTTAAAAAATTTATATAACAATTTTCTGTGGAAAAGTTTGCAAGTGTAATAAAAGACTCAAGCAGAAAAGAATTATACTACAATTATATAGGGATGTATGATAGGTATGCATTCAAGAAGAAAAAGGACTTACATAAAGTTTACTACTGTAAAAGAACATTTGTTTGTGTAGTTTTCAATGAATAAGGGTAGGTCAAATCAAATCATTTGATTCCAGGGGCTAGAGGTATATGTAGCCCAGTGGTAGACCATATGCTTAACCTGCATGAGGCCCTAGGTTTAATCACAGCCCAAACACAAAAAGATAAAGCCATGTGATTCCATGCCATGTATTTCATTATAAGATACATTATTTTTAAATGTATTTTGCAATATATCAAAAATTAGACTCTTTGCAATTATTTAACATGATGATATCAACTAAAATGTGCTAAAGGGTTCATAGTTTCTCAAAATTCCTCTAGGAAATATTCAAAAAGTGCTCTAAGAACATACTAGCTGGAGGTGATAATGGTGCATGCTTGCAATCAATCCCAATGCTCAAGAGGCAGAGGCAGGAGGATTGCCACACGTTCTAGGCCAGTCTAGGCTACACAGTGAGTTCAATGCCAGCTTGAACTAAAAGCAAAATCTAGAATGTAAAAATCTCCACATGCTAAAGCACTTTGGGTTTAAATATGCTTTAAAAAATCCTTTTTCCCCCTTGCCTCAAAAAACCAGAAAAAGGCTGTAGCTGATTTTGCCATGCCCCATTTTTTTGTTTTTAAAAGGAAAGCTGCCTCTTTTCAAGAAAGCTGCCTATTCTTCAAGAGTGGCTCTCCCTATCACTGTAAAATGGATTGGGCAGGAACATTCAGTGACCACACTTTCAGTGGATGATACTATGCTAGATCTCAGTTTCTCAAGACCCTTACTTGAGTGCTGGCAGAACACCAAAACTTGCTTAGACTCCAAGTAAAGTAAACCTACTGAAAACTTCTTGAAAAGTGAAGAAGTACAAAATGGAAATAGTGAATCCTCCCAAGAAAGAAAAAAAGATTTGGTACTAGATGTTGAATCTACATTGTTGACCATAGATAGTTCTGGTACAGAGATGGATAGAATTAATATGGCCATATCTTCACGAATTTCTAACATATTCAAATGAAGACTATGATACTGTTGTTTGGTCTGCAACAAATTTAAACTAAAATGAAGGAGCTGGGAGTAAGCACAAGTACAAATTATAAAATTACCTTCATGTTGGACAGTGCTGCTATGGTAACAACACGTATCTCAAGGAGAGGATTAACAGACATAAAGCCTCTTGGGGTTATATGGGGAAGTTTTCTGAGTTTTATAGCAAAAAAACCTATCATTATGTTTAATGACATAGCAAAAAATGTCCCATTCAATCCACAGAATGAGCTAAAATAAGGTCTTTCATGAAAGCACACCTAATTAAGACAAAGAATTTTTAAAATTAACTCATTACCTCAAAAAACAGCAAAATTAGATGATTTTTGGAGCTAAAAATCACAAACACTGGGAAAGATATCTCTCATAAAAGGATAGTAGTTACAAGTTAGTCAGAAGATACTTGAGTTTCATAAACTTTTTGCTTTTATGCTAGAAATCATGATAGTGCTGGACAATGAAGGACTATTTATCCTTGGTCTTCTAGGTCTTTTGTAAATTTAGTTTTATATTTTTTGACAATCATAGCAATATGCTTTAAAAAATCCTTTTTCCCTTATATGAACATACTGTTACTCTTGAAAAATATTTTCTCTGGCATGGATTACTGAGGTGTTTTCTACCAAAAGAAAAAAGAAAAGGAAGCAAAAGTGAAGAAAAATATTATCAGGGCTTTTCCCTTTAAAGCAAGCAAACAAAAGTTTCTGAATAAAGCACCTAGTTTGTTATGCTTAAAATTACCAAGAATGTTTTTATTCCTTTGACATAGATAGATTTTCCATACTGCACTATTCCATCTCTAAATTCTCAGCCATCTCAATCCGGGCTGTCAGTGTTCTTTAAGTAAAACCAGAGAACATCTGTTGCAATGCAGCAATGTCACTGCATGAGAAACAGAAAACGTAAGAGTGAGGAATCATACTAAGGGACAAGAATGTGATTCTTTTTGGTCACTAAGTAGAAGCACTTCTGCCTCAAACTACTGTCATAAAAGCAGCGAAAGGCAGTAAATTTTAAAATGGGGCGTATCACCAATTCAAAAGCATGAACACAATGTTTTGTTCTGTTCCAACTATTATCTTGTCATAAGTACTAAAGCTATTTTCATTGAAAATATCTAACCATAAGATTAAAAATATAGTATATTATTTGCAATGCTTATATCTGCAGATATATAATGTGACCACTGTTTTGTGTTGACAGTACTGCTTTATACAGTTCTTGTATTTGAAAGGAATTGATTCTTTTAAATAAACATGGCGTATAGTGTTCATACAGAACTTCAGTAAACAAAAATCTCTTTTGAGAAAAGGAACCTAACTTTAGTGGACAGCGATAGTGAAAAGCTTGCTAATGTTTGTCACTACATCTATGAAAGGAAGGTGAAGCCTGGTTTCCAGAGACACCTCAATTCTTTTTTGTTTGTTTTGAGCCAGGATCTTGCTATGTAGTTCAGACTGGACTTGAACTCACTATGGAGCCCAGGATGGTCTCCAACTTGCAGTGATCCTCCTGCCTGGGCCTCCCAAATTCTGGGATTACAGGAGTGTGCATCACACCCAACACACCTCACTTTTTTCCTTCTTTTGCTTTGCTGTTGTTTTTTGAGATAGAGTCTCACTATGTAGCCCAGGCTGGCCTTCAAATCGTGGCAATCCTCCTGCCTCCACCTCCCAAGTACTGAGATTACAGGAGTGTGCCACCACACCTGGCTCCAAGTTAATATACAATACTGGTATTCTACTACTACTTCCTAAACATATATATTTTGCTATTAATATAAACATTAAGCATATAAACATAAAACACATCTTTTTCCTACTATATTTACAATTAAATTATTTTATGTAACCATACTGAACATCCTTAGGTTTCCTGCTGCCATCCACCCTTAACTTATTTAATCTAGCAAACATATATCACAGTGAATTCACTTCAGTGTTAAGCATGGTTAAGAGCAAGAGTGGAGTGTGAAACCCAGCCTTCTTTATTTATTTGTGCAACTTGAGGCACATTACATGATCTCCCTTTGCCTCACTTCCTGTCTTTTTATAATGGGACTGATAAAAATATCTACATCATAAAGTGATTAGGAAGATGAAATTAGTACATTTCTACAATATAAGAACAGTATCTAACACAAAAGTAGTAGTCATTATTAGTGAAACTGCTTAAGATATCTGTGGCATGTATGCCAGTCATTTTTCATACTTTCATCAAAGTATGTTTATAACCAGGCATGGTGGCACACGCCTGTAATCCCAGCACTTGGGAGGATGAGGCAGGAGGATCACTGCGAGTTTGAGACCAGCCTGGGCTACAAAGTGAGCTCAAGGCCAACCTGAGCTGCATAGTGAGAACCCGTCTCAAAAAGACAAAAATAAAAAAAGTATGTTTATAGTACACCAGCCAATGTGCTAAATGATACAGACCAAGGTGAAAAATATATATAGTTCCTGCTCTCCAAAGTGTCACTTAGGGAAACTTTTTCATATGAAGGAAGACAAACATGAAAGTGATGTGATAACATAAACAAATGAATGCTATTGGTTGAATAAATTAACTAAAATTACCTCTTAACAGAGGTTTGAACAAAGTATTGTAAAACTACAGAGAAGAAAATATTTAATTATGACAGGAAACTCCAGAGAAGACTTCTTGGAGAATGTGATTTTTAAGTTAGATAATGAGGAATAAAAAGTAGCTCATCACATAAAGAGTGGAAGGGCATTCAAAATAGAAAAACGTTATGATAAAAATCCCTGTGTTATCGCTACTCAACCTTTTGGCTAAGATCAAGCATAAAAATCCCGTTTTAAAACCATAAATTTACGGTCTCAATATTATTCTTCTTTCTCTACCCTTTCCCCTGCTTCTTCTTCCTCTTCCTTTTCTTTTCTTGTTTTGTGTTTGTTTTTCAGCGCTGGGGTTCAAACCCAGAGCCTTGTATGAATGAAGTACTCTATCCTTGAGTCATACACTCTTACCCCTAAATACTCTGTTCCACAGAGAATAACTTTTTTCCTTTTCTTGGTTTGTTTTTTTGTTTTTTTGTTTGAGACATGGTCTCACTATGTAGTTGAGGCTGGCCTTGAACTCACTATGTAGCCCAGGCTGGCCTTAAACTCATAGGAATCCTCCTGCCTCAGCCTCCCAAGTGCTGGGATTACAGGCATACACCAAAACATAATTTGTTTTAATTTAATCTGAGTTTCTTATTAGTAATATAAATAACATCTAGTCAAATAATTTTGTGTGTGTGTGTGCACACACATACTTTTTTTTTTTTTTTGAGACAGTGTCTCACTGTAGTTTAGGCTGGCCTTCAATTCACTATAGGGCCAAGGCTGGCCTCAAACTCACAGGGAGATTACAGGCATGCACCATGATGCCCGGCAACTTTGTAGTATATACTATAATTAACTTAAAAAGCTTTTAAAATAATTTTCACAATCAGTCTATTACCATGAACAGATATGATACATACCTGTGTCTGAAGGACGTAAAAAGTCTGTGTCACAGGTGAAAAATGTCTGATGGTCCTGTGCTGACAAGTTCATGTCATAGTATGTAAGTGGTTCTTTACCAGTTACCCAAGTGTATCTTTACCAAAACACAAGAAAATATTTAAATTGGACATGAGACAGCATCTGTCTGCTACAAGGGACACTATTTAAATCCCAAAAATACACAACTACAACTTCTATTTCAGGATATTATGATACTCAATAAAGAGACAAAAGAGATAATCTTCACAAACTGAGCGCATGATAATAAAATATCAAAAACAAAATAGGAAAGAATAAATTATTCAATAAACAGTTCTTTGAACATTACATTTAAAGGAATAAAACAATTTAAGTTAGTCATGTACCATATGAAATACATGGGATGCCAGGCATTGAGGCTCACACCTGTAATCCCAGCACTCTGGGAGGCTGAGGCAGGAGGACCACCAGTTTGAGCCCAGCATAGGCAACTTAGTGATTTAGGGAGACCTTGCCTCAAAATAAAAAGTAAAAAAGGGCTGGCAATAATGTAGGGCAGCGTGGGTTCAATCCTTAGTCACACACACACACACACACACACACACACACACCTACCTTACTGAGTTAGTACTATGTATTAAAATTAAAACTCCGCAGAAACTAAAAGAAAACACAGGTGAATTTTTCCCCAGTGTAAAGATGGTGAAGGGCTTTCACAGCATAAAAACTAAGAGAAACTTCCCAGAGTGTATAAAAAATTTAAACCTTTATACCACCCCATGCATGCAATAAACTACTAGCAAGTTAATATGGCTACTAACTACATTTTTAAATGTCAAATCTCTACTGGCACAAAAGTAGACATATGGGTCAGTGTAACAGAATAAAGGATGCAGAAGCAACCCCAGGCACATTCAGCCATCTTTGACAACAGGAGCCAAAAGCATACCCTGGAAGAAAGATACCCTCTCTAACAAATGGTGCTGGGAGAACTGGCTATACATATGCTAAAGACTGAATCTAGACCTATACATATCACCATGTACTACACTAAAATCAAAAGAGATAAAAGATCTAAATATTAAAACAGAAACAATCTACTGGAAGAAAAAATAGGTAAAACCTTTGAAGTCACAGATGTAGTCAAGGACTTTCTGAACAGAGCTCTAATTGCACAAGAAACAATATCAAGAATCAACAAATGGGACTATATCAAGAAGTTTCTACAAAACAGGAAACCAACCAGTCAACAGAGTTAACAGACAACCTACAGAATGGGGAAAAAAATTTTGCCAGCTACTCCTCAGAGGACCAATACCTAGAATATTTAAAGAACTAAAAAAAAAGCCTCCCCACACAATCAAAAAATGGGCAACTGAAATGAATACACTTATAAGAAGTACAAAAGGCCAACAAGCACACGAAAAAATGTTCAATACTTTCACCATTAGAATAATGAAAATTAAAACAACACTAAGATTCTATCTTACTCCAGAAAGAATGACTGCCATCAGGAATTTGAATAATAACAAATGCTGGCAAGGTTGTGGGAAGAAAAAGGATTCCTTCTACATTGTTGGTGGAAATGTAAACTAGTACAGCCAATATGGAAATCAGTATGAAGAGTTTTAAAAAAAACTAAAGGTACAAATTCCACTCGAACCAGTTATTACCCTCCTACGTATCTTTCCCAAAGAGTTAAAGACATATTACAATGATACATGCATACCCATGTTTACAGCAGCACAATTCATAATAGCTAAATCTTGAAAGTGGCCTATATGTCCATCAATAGATGAATGGCTAAAGAAACTGTGGTCCTTATATACAATGGATTACTACTCTGCTATAAAAGATAAATTTGAGTCATTTATAAGCAAATGAATGCACCTTGCAACCATAATGTTAAGTGAAATAAATCAGATACAACCCAAAGTATAAATAAACTAATGAACAAAATAAAATATAAGAACCAGGGAGATAGATCTTTTACAAAAGGGAAGCATACTAAGAAATGAAGGGGGAAGTGGGAGGGAATGAAAATCAAATATGTTATACACATATGCCAAATCTCCACAATAGTAAGTGTCATACATACTACAAATATGTACTAATAAACATTTTTTAAAATGTCAAATCTCACTATTATAATTCACAGATAATTTAATTCACAGATAAGTGAATTAAAATAACTAAGTTTTACTTTTCACCGATCAATTTGGTAAAGATATGTTATCAAAGACTGTTACAGCTTATATCTAGATATCCCCCCAAAGCCTCATGTGGTGATAGCTGGGGCTTTTTGGAGGTGGCTGGATCTAGGGTATGTAACACTGGGATTATCGTTGCCCCACCCTGGTGTGGTGCTAACCCCCCCACCCCCGCCCCGCCAAAAGGCAGGTAGCTTGGATGGAATGTAAGAAACAGAAAGAAGACTTGCTGCTGCTGCTGCTTCTGTTGCTACCATTGCTTGCTGCCTTCTGCCTGCCTTCCCACGCCATGAACTGTTTCTCCTCTGCGATGCCCCTCTCCCATGCCACCCTGCTTTAGAGCCAGCCAACTATACACTGAAACCTCTATAGACTGTGAGCTAAATAAAACTTTACTTCCTTGTGGGCGTCAAATATTTTGAGTCAGCAATGAGAAAAGTGACTATAACAAGGAGGAAGTGGGATATGTGCACATACAGTATTGATATAATGTAAGTAAGATCTATATTTCTCTTTCCAGAAATCCATTAGATAATATCTGTTAAGAGTCTTAAAAATAGTCACACCTAGCTGGTGGATGAGTACCTGGAATTTTACTACTCTCTTTAATTTCAATTATTTTTAAATATTCACAGTAATACATTTTAGAAAACTAATAAAAGGAAAAAATAGTTGACATACTTTTGATTTGGTAACCCTAGTGCTACAAGTTAATCTTAGGAAATAATCATAAGTGTGGCTAAATATTGCATATAAAGGTGTCTCTCTAATATAAATGTTAACAGTGAAATAATCTTAGGAATGCAAATGGAGAGGCTACAGGTAAAGTGTAGTATTTCCAAGTCATAGGCTATAACATAACCATTAAAAATCACAATATTAGCCAGGCATGGTGTATTACATCTGTAATCCCAGAACTCAGGAGGCTGAGGCAGGAGGATCACTGTGAGTTTGAGGCAAGCCTGGGATACATAAGTGAGTTCAAGGACAACCTGCATTACATAGTGAGACCTTGCCTCAAAAAAAAAAAAACAACAAAAAAACCACATTGTATATGAAATTCATGTTGGCAATAATTTTTATAGGAAATTCACATAATATATTTTACAAAAAAACAGGATGAATAGCAATAAGTATAGGAAGATGTTTGGGTTTTGTTTCTATAAACACATGTAGAAGGAAGACTAGACGAAAAATTCTCATAGCAATTATCTAATCATGACTTGGTTGTGGAAAGAGATGATTTTTACTTTAATATACCTCCTTAATTTTCATTTTCTACACTAAATATGCACATATTTGGCAATCAGAAAAAATACTCTTTTTGGTTTTTTGAGACAAGGTCTGTCTATGAAGTTTAGGCTAGCTTTGAACTTGCTACTGTATCCCAGGCTGGCCTCAAACTCAAAGTGATCCACCTGCTTCAGTCTCCTGAGTGCTGGGATTACAGGCACATGCCACCCCTCCTGGCTAAAAACGGGCACTTAAAAAGCACACGATAAATATTACTTGTATAATCAAAGATTTTAAGTTATTTAATTGGATTAATTAGCTTGCTAAGGGTACTGGCAATGTTATAAAAGTTATAATGAAGAAAAAAGTAAATTTCTGCTCACCTATCAAAATTTGCTGTTTACTCTAAAAAAAAAAAGGTCTGATGTATAGCTCACTGGTAGAGGACTTACCTAGCACAGTTGAGAACCTAGGTTTTGATTGCCCAGCACCACAAAAAAATAAATAAAGCTTTAAAAAATCTTAAGCCATATTATTCCTACACTGATTTAAAGCAGTTATAATATATAACAACAATAACATAAATCAGAAGTAAGTAAAAAGATGCAATAATGGAAAAATAAGGATTGGGAAATGGAACCTGGCCAGAAGCTAACGTATCAAATATGTATCAGAATTCTATACTCTTGTGAAGGGTTGGCTACAGTCTTGGCTTTAAACTCTAGAACCATACAATGGTCAAAAACACAATTTAGATGGGCCGTGGTGGTGCATGCCTGTAATCCCAGCACTTGGAAGGCTAAGGCAGGAAGATCATTGTGAATTCAGTGCTGGCTTGCACTACATAGCGAGACTCTGTTTCAAAAAACAAAAACCCCCCACAATTTAGACATTTTCATTAAGATAAATTAATCATTTAAAAAAGCATAAACATTCCTAGTTTTAAGGAATTTCTCTTAAAAAAAGAAACTTCTCCAATGATCTGTATGAAATGTATTCTGTAGAGCAAGGAATAACCTCAAAAACTTTATTAATAAACGGAGAAGTTCAATGACCTATTTCTTGCAAAATCATTTAACATAGGTTAATGGCATCTCTCCTTAAAGCCTAGCTTTCACTTCCTAGGATGCTACTGTTACACTACAAGTCCTTAAGTATTGGGATTACCACTTAACCATTTCTGTATTGCCACCATTTTTCACAGTGCCCACACAGAGTGGTCATGTTTTTTTGTTCAGTGAACCAGATACCATGCTCCAATCTACCTCCAGGTAAAATGCAACCTCCTCAAAATAAAAATGAAGGTTAAATATCCTTGCTCAAAAATTTCTAAAAGTATTTTCTTATATATAATTTGAAGTGGAAGAGAAGTAGACAGTTGTACAGATGAGAAATTACAATATAAAATCAATATAAAAACGCTGTGCCTTGTACTACTGTACAAATGAAGTTTACATTCACATTCAGAGTGATGTTTTTTAGTGAATCTTCAAATATGTAAATCTTGAAACTGAACACACAATAGGTATATGCTGGCACCTGTAACTTTATACACAATCTTATAAATTCTTTTCAAAAGGCTTTCTATCCGGGTATGGTGAGGCACAACTCTAATTCCAGTTACTCTAAAGGCTGAAGCAAGTGGAATCCAACTAAATGGTGTAGGCAACTTAGCAAGACCTTGTCTTAAAAAAAAATAAAAATGGGTGGGGATGTAGTTCAGTGGTAGAGCACCCAAGTTCAATGCCCCATACCACCAAAACTTTAAAAAATTAAAGAGGCTTTCTAACATAATAAACTAGGAGGCCTATTCCATACTCATTATGCATCACAACTTATAATTTGAAACAATGCTTCTCATGATTATAAAAGTAAATATGGTCAAGATTCTGTCAACTAAACCTTGAGCTAGTCATTTCATCTTGTTATACTAAAGAGCCTGTGATATATTTATAAAAACAAATGTTTCCATAGTACTTTTACTATCAGACCATTATCATACTTAAAATAAAAGCAAAATGTTAATACCTCCTATATTCTGCTCCTCTAAAAAGGTTTAAAGGGTTTCTCCATACTTTGCATTCTGAAAAACAAGAGGCAAAATGAGAGTTTACTCCAACGATGTTAAACCTTCATTTAACCAACGTTTATTGTCTACGTACTGTATGCTAAGCACAGAGAGTATACAGACAAAAGAAGCACAAATAGTCCCTGCATTCAAGAAGAACACAATTAAATCTAGTCCCTTATTTCTGTCTCTACAGTATGAGGTTCATAACTCAGTTTTAGCACTTACAATATTATAAATATTACAAATTTACAATATTACAAATATTGCAAATATGAACTTTTAAAAATGTTCACTTTTACATGCATAGAGCCTACCACACTATCTGGAACTGATTTGTTGAACTGAATTAAATATACTATGAAAGTTAGTCATGTAAACAACGGACTGAACTATGTGACAAGTGCTATAGCAAAGGTATGTTCTGTTCCAAGACAAAGAAAAGGAAGCAATTAATTTTTCTCTATGGAAACTGGGGAAGGTTGTAGATTAGAGGTGACCCGTGCACTGACAGTGAATCACTCACTATAAGATGAGTAGAAGGCTGCAAGATGAAGCACATTCCAACCAGGGGAAGTACAGAACTGCACAGCAGCTGGGCACAGTGGTACAGGCCCGTAATTCCAGTACTTTGGGAGGGTGAAGAGAGGATCACAAGTTTGGACCCAGTAACTTAGCAACTTGGTGAGACCCTGTCTCGATATAAAAAAATAAGAAGGGCTGGGACTATAGCTCAGGGCAAAGGCCCTGGCTTCAATTCCTAGTACTACAAGCAAAACTGCACAGAATGCTTGGTGGTTTTTCTTTTGCAATAAAATGTATTAATATTTAAGATATGTACAACTCACTGAAAAAGTACTTTCCAAACAATCAATGTGTGATGTTCTAAAATTATGCAGAAGAGATTCATTAAAAATGTATTAAGGCATGTGAAAAGATATTAATAATGAGTGCAAAGTTCAGGTTCGACACTGAAACTAAATTTTCAGAAAGTACTCCTTAGCAAGTTTTGATATAGTACAAAGAAAGTAAAGAAAAGAAAGAATACCCATAATTTCCTGAAAAGCCTATTAAAAATCTTCCTCCCTCTTCTAACTATATCTCTGCGTGAAACCAGATTATGCTCATATACTTCAATGAAAAACAATATAACAAACAGGATAAAAACAGCATGAAAGTAAACAGTCTCCTACTAAAGGATTTAAACAAATGCTAAATACCTCCAGTCTCCTGACTGAGCTTGTTTTGGGAAAATTTTTTTTTTGTATGATATGTATATTAGTTAGCTTGGACTGCCCTTAAAAAAAAAAAGTACTGCAGACCATACTTAAACACACGTTGAAGGGGCTGGTCTTTTCTGAAGGAAGTACACACGTGTAGCTGAACAGCCCTATGGTCCAGTCCTGAAGAATCCAATACTGTATTGAATCCATTCATTCTGTGTGTGCGTGCGTGCGTGCGTGCGTGCGTGTGTGTGTGTGTGAGAGAGAGAGAGAGAGAGAGAGAGAGAGAGAGAGAGAGAGAGAGAGAGAGAGAGAGTGTACTGAGCATTGAATTCAGCCTCCACACTGAACTATGTCCCCAGCACTTTTTTATTTTGAGACAGGGTCTTGCTAAATCACTAAATTGCCCAGAATGCACTTCAACTTGCCATCCTCCTGCCCCAACCTCGAAGAGAGGTAGGATTATAGGTGTGTGCCACTGCACCTGGCTTTGATTCCTTTCTTGTTTAACAATTCCTTCTTCAGTCTATATCTCCTCTTTCACATTTCACTGTAACTAGTCAAGAGGAAACAAGCTGGTACTTCCACACTTTGCTTGGAAATATTCTCAGTTATATATCCAATTTCACTGTGTCAAATTCCACCATCCACAAAATGCAGAACATAGGCCATCCAAGTTCTTTTTCACTCTATAACAAGGATCACTTTTCCTCTAGCTTCCTATAACACATTCCTCGTTACCATCTGGGATCTCACCAGAATCATCCTGAATGTCCATATTTCAGATATGTCCCTCAAAACTCTCCCAGACTCTACCCACAAACCAATTTTACAGACATTTCCATATAATTAAGTATCTATAGTAGAGTACCACTCTTCTTGCTATGTCCTCCGAGGGTGGAAGAGGCAAACAGCTCTCTGTAGTCTCTTTTATAAGGACGTTAATCCCACTCATGAGGGATTACCCTCACAACCTGATAAAGAGTTGAGGCTGAGGTATACAAATATGAAAATCTCTTCTAATTCAGCACAGAAAGCTGCTTTCTCTTCCCCTTTTTATAAAACATGGAAAAACAAGGGAGTGAATATCTTGATTTTTAAAGAAGTCAGTCTGAGAATTATCAACCTACATTAATAATACTGCCAAGTTTACCATATATAGCTAGAACTGTTGAGCTTCTACCCCCACGATGTGATCATCTCCAAAGACCTCACCTCCTAACGTCACACTGATGATTAGGTTTCAGTGTATCAGTGAAGGAGTAAACACACAGCCAAACCACACAACTGTGTTGTTTAGAATTTATCTCCCACAGTCAAACTCAATCTTAGAAACACAGCTCTGAAAACACACTGAAAAAGTCACCTGACAAATTCTGTCTACCGGTTTCATTTTCTCTGTTGCTGGGAGAACCTGGCTCTGCGATGCTGCTTTCCGTGCCTCCCATCAGCGGTCGCAAATGGTTAATAGATACTTGCTCAATAAAAGAGGTGCCGTGCTTATGGAAGTACCACCATTCAAATATCTGTGATAAAGAGAAAACACCTTTTACTCAAAGCAGAATTTATTAGCAGATATATGAACTCAAAACATTCCCTCAAGATGTTCCTATTGAGACAATTATGAGACAAGAGGAAGGGAATAAAGGGAGGGGGTGCAAACAAGGGTAACAGGGAGGATGGGCATGTTACATGCATGTAGGAAAATATCACATCAAAACACAATATTTTGTAAAATTGATACGCACAAATAAAAAATACATTTTTAAAAAGGTTTTCCTGTTCAATTCAAAATTTTAAATGTATTACCTTTTCCCACAGTTCCCTAATAACATATGCCATGTTAAGAGTGAAATATTTTTTATGAGATTTTTGACAAAATTAGGCAAAGCTACACAGTTGTAATTAAGAATGTAAAAACAATAAGAAGTGTTTAACCTGTAAATCATTTAAGTGTTATGTTACACTGTCATCTTATTGTATCTGTAGTATAAAGTCTCTTTTTAAAAAATTAGGCAGGCATGGGGGTGCACACCTATAATCCCAGCACTCAGGGAGGCTGAGGCAGATGGACCGCTGTGAGTTTGAGGTCAGCCTGGGCTACAAAGTGAGTTCAAGGCCATCCTGAACTGCACAGTGATACCCCATCTCAAAAAGACCCCCCCCAAAAAAAATTAGTATAGTAAAATAAGCTCAACTAACATCAGAATGCCCAGGTTTGACTCTCAAGCCAATAATTTATTAACTATGCACTTTGGACAAGTTACTTTACCTTAACAACTCACAGCCTCAGTGTTTCTGTCTATTAAATGTGGTTAACCAGTTATAAGAAAGTGCTTTTTGAACCAAAAAGTGCTACTCCAGCAGTATTTGGCAACATTATTGATATAACTTGAGCCAGGATGATTCTCAGATTGAACTACTTAGAAATATGCATTTCTTTTGTATTTCCATGGTTTATCACTTGTAAAAGAGTAATAGTTAAGCTCAACTGTCAACTCGGCAGTTGTTTTGGGAGTCACCAAAGAGGATAACAAAGCACATTTCTGGGTGTGTCTGGGTGGGCCATATATTCATGACTTTAGCGTCCACATGGGCCCCTCACCCCTTGTCCTCTGTCACTGTTCCCTCACTCTGCTTTCCAGCCAGCATGAACTGAGCAGCTTGGCTTCACCATGCACTTCCAGCGTGATGCTTCTGCATTACAGCCAGCCAGTCATGGGCTGAAATATCTGAAACATGAGCAAAAATAAGCCCCTCTTCTTTAAATTCTGTGTGTTAGGTGTTTGTTTCTACTGACAAAGCTGACCGATACAAAGAAGCAAAAGTAGCTCTCTATGTGGAATTTGTAGAAATTTTCATACTTCTACATTTCCAAACTTCTCAACTGTTTATGCCAGGCTCCTTTGTATTTCAGCTTAAATGGTGCTCCCTCAGGGAACTTCTCCTAAATCCACAGAACACAGATAGCTGTGTTATGTGCTTCCACTGGATTTTGTTTCCCTTTCATAGCAATCTTTTAATTTATAATTGGTGCTCAATTCTTCAAGCCCTCAACCAGCTCCCCCTTGATGAAGAAAGACATGCAGCACAGGAAGCTTCCCTGATATTTCATATGCCCTTTTTTTTTTTTTTTTTTTTTTTTTTTTTTTTTTTTGTGTGTGTGTGTGTGTGTGTGTGTGTGTGTGTGTGTCTTTTTTAGACAGGGTCTCGCTATGCAGTTCAGGCTGGTCTCGATTGATCCTCCTGCCTCAGCCTCCCAAGTGCTGGGATTACAGGCATGCGCCATAAAAATATTACTTTTGATTCAGTAAATTATAGAATAAATCTGCCAAACAGGTGCCAAAAGTATGCAGTCATTTTGTATGACATTGTATCCCAAGGACAAATGCTACAATATTTATAAGTGCTTGAAATGCAAAGTACTGTTTTTTTCTATTATGTCACTAACATTTTATGCTCAGTCTAAAAATGGCTTCCCTTTAAAGCTTATTCTCCAAGTTAACAAGCAATTAATCCCAAATATGATCATGGTTTGGCTTCTACTATATGTTTTACTAAGAAATGTGATGAAACTTCTTTATGTGTGTATGTGTGTGACATGGTACGCAATCTATCAACCACTTCCTCAGCCCAAGGGATGAAATTTCTCTAAAACAACCATAAGAAATTACACACAGGTAGAAGTTGTTTATGTGACAGAAAAGATTTAAATTGGACAAATCTTGGATTAAAAAAATAAGATACAGTGGGAGAGTGTCTGCCTAAGGCAAGAGGACCTATGTTCAATCCTTAGTACTTTTAATAAAGTAAGAGGAAGAGAGAGAAATACTGTCAAGGACTTGTAATCAGAGGGTAACAATAATAAAGTGCTCTTCACTATATGAAATACAAGTGGTTTTTATTAATAAAAACCTTTTAATTTCCTAAATCAATTTTACAATGTTTTGTACAATGTTAAAATAAACAGTGGTAATAACAACTGCTGAACTGGAGATATAGTAAAATGGTAGTATGTTTGCCTAGTACGTGTAACCCCTGGGTTCAAACCCTAGTACCACACATAAACAGAAAAATAATAAATACCTAATATTTATCTAAAGCTCTCTATGAGCTGGGTGTCATGGTGTATGCCAATAATCTAAAGTATTAGGAGGCTGAGGCACGAGGATTGAAAGTTTAAGGCCAGCATGGGCAACTTAATGAGACCCTGTCTCAAAATAAAATTTTGAAAAGGGTTGGAGAAGTAACTGTGGTAGAATGTTTGCCTAGCATGTATGAAGTCTGGCTTCGATCCTCAAACAAAAACATTTCTATGAGACAAGCATTATGCCAAGTGCATGCATTATGTCATTTAATCCTCACAACAGCTAATTCTGGAGATGAGGAATATGTTCCAAATTTAAATAACTAGCTCTAGTTCATACCACTGGTCAGATACAGGGTTGAGTTTCTTATTCAGGTTTGTCTAACTTCAGAGCTTCTAACCATACTTCTCAAATGTATGTCAGAGTATACGTATATGTATGTGTTTAAGTATACATATTCCACATGTCGCGGTAGTAAAAAAAAAATTATAAACACAATTTTTGCTAATAAAAACCCACCAATACTGCAAAGGTAATGATACTGTAATTGAGCTTTTAAAATGTCACTTGAATTTCCTAATTTTTGTATATTTAACCCTCTTCTAAAAAGAAACCAGTTTTTAAACCAGTTTTAGAAATCTGATATATAGATGCATGCTATCCCACTTTTATGAATGAGAAAGTTGGGATTTAGACAGTTTATGTGAGATGCCTACATTACTGTCTAGTAAGTGTCAGTCAACAACTCAAAATCATATCTTCTGGTTCCAACACCAATGCTTTCTGCCTATTTCAGCTGTTTATAACTCTCAGTCTCCCTCCTTCTCTCTTCTGTGTTTCTCTCTCTCTCTCTCTCTCTCACTGGGGACTGAACCCTGGGTCTCTGCACTTAACTATACCCCAAGCCTTTTTTTTTTCTGGTACTAGAAATTGAACTCAGGGCCTTGTGCTTACCAGGCAAGCACTGTGCCACTGAGCTACAGCCCCAGCCCCATCAAGCCTTTTAATTAATTACTTTTTTTCACAAATGTTTTGTTGTTGTTGTTGTTGTTTGAGACAGGGTTTTGCTAGGCAGTTCAGGCTGGCTTTGAACTCACTTTGTACCCCGGCTGGCCTCAAACTTGCAGTGATCCTCCTGCTTCCATCTCTAGAGTGCTGGGATCACAGGCGTGCGCCACCACACCCAGCCTTTTTTTAAAATTTTGAGACAGGATCTCACAAAGCTGTACAGACTGGGCTCAGACTTGTATCCTCCTGCCTCAGCCTCCTACAGTGCTGGGATTCCAAGTAGGCATCACTACACAGTGCTTTAAATGTATGCTATTGACTACGCTAAAATATGCTCAATTACAAGTGGGCTTTACAAAGCAATATTGTGAGGCTCATATTAACATATACTTTTTATTCTGAATCCCTCAATAGTTTCTTTAAAAGAAAAACCCCTTTCTTTTACATTTCATTTTAACAAAATGCTCAGCTTTAGTACCTGTTTTAAAAATAAAAACCAACACAAATACTATTATTTTTACTAAAGATGGAGAGCACCACCTACAGATGAGAAAAAAGAATAGAAAAATCCACTGACCACACATGGAATAATACTAAAGATTTCTATCTGTAGCAACATTTTTCCAAAGTGTACACTAGGAAATGCTAGATGCTAGGGATGTTAAAGGGAATTATAAATTTTTTTAGTATTTTAAAATGTTATTTTGTTCAAGGAAAAGCTGGATTAAATAGATTTCCATCTATTTAATGTGGGATTTCTTAGAATAATAATGGCCAAAATTCATTAAGTGCTCACTGAGCTAGCTACCATGTTACAAGCTTTTACACACATTATCTCATTTAGTTCTCACAGTTCTTCAAAGTGGTACTATTATTCTTCCCATTTGGAAGAGGAATTGGGGCTTGGAAAAACTGCAGACTGAATTCCAGACATAAATTTTAGTCTGTGAAATATTATCAAAATTAAAATATTGGGAAATTTACAGAAAATCTGTATGTCCAGTTTCTCTTGTTTTTGTTTTTGTTTTGTTTTTTGAGACAGGGTCTCACTATGCAGTTCAGGCCAGCTTTTGAGCTCACTCTGTAGCCCAGGCTGGTCTCGAACTTGCAACAATCCTCCTGCCTCAGCCTCCCAAGTGCTGGGATTACAAGCGTGAGCCATCATGCCCAGCCTCAGTTTCTCTTGAAAAGATCTGAAAAACTGGAACATCTGGTACTACTAGTCATAGGTTTACATGACAACAATTAGCTTTCCCCTCTTTTACAAGGAGTATGTACTTTCCAGATTATCCAGTTCACAAAGTAAATGATAAATTTATTCTTATAGTCTTCCCTTTTCACTCACTTTTTTGTTACTAACAAGAGACCTTCAGGCATTAAGTTTCTAACCCCCTTCTGACTATAGTATACAAGACTTTATTATGCAACAAATACTGCTAATCTCTAGAAGTACAGAGAGAGATGTACTGTTCCCCAAACTTGTTTGGTGAGGTAATTCTTTTTGCAAATGCCTAACACATTTTAGAAATGCTGATATATAAGTACTTAAATTATTGTAACAATATGTAGGACCTTTGGACAAATATCAAAACATCAATTTAAAAAATGGAAACTACTTACAAATATCAGTCCTGATATCAAAGAAGATGTCCCTGTAAGTGCCACATAGAATTTGGGTGTCAGTGAATTTAAAAATCCTGTCACTGTTAAAAGAAAAAACATAAAAGTTTAAAAAAAAAAAACACAAATTGAAAGTGCTTAAGCTATAAATATGTAGATGTCTTTGAGTGGGAGGACATAAGTAGTGCACTTGTTCTTCAACTTACAGTGAGGGTCTATCCTGATAAACCCTTCGGAAATTGAAAATAGTATAAACTGAAAATGCACTCGATACCCCAAACCTTTCAAATGTTGGAGCTTAGCAACGCAGCACACTGTATTGTTTATCCTCCAGATTGTGTTCCTGACTGCCTAGGACTGGACAGAGGGTACTGCTAACCGAGGAAAAGATCAAAATTCAAAATTTCTACTGAATGCATATATGGCTTTTGTACAACTGTAAAGTTGAAAAAGTGTAAACTGAGCCACTTTATGAATATTCATTCGAAAAAGTTGCAACTTTAAAAACCACTATAAATTCCCATTGTACCATATCCTAAAAACGCATTCACACATGTAAAAGTAGGATTTCATACTGTTGGTTAGCTAATTAAGAAGCAAATTAAGCCACAAAAAGAAAAAGAAAAAAGAAGCAAATTAAAATGAGGCTTAGGGTAGGCTGGGTTAGGGATGTAGTTCAGTGATAAGAGTGCTTGCCTAACATGCATGAGGCCCTCGTTTCAATCCCCAACACCACTAAAAAATAATAAAATGTATAAATAAAACGAGGTTTAGTATGTGCAAGGTCCTAGATTCCATCCCTAGCACCAAAAAAGTGGAAAAAAAATTGAGGTCATTTGGCTTGCCTTTGAACATAAAACCTAAAACACATAAATCATAATTTAGACTAGAATTTTTGCAAAACTCTAAGAAGCTAAACAAACATACTTTTTTGTTTTTTTTTTTTTGAGACAGGGTCTCACTATACAGTTCAGGCCAGCCTTGAGCTCACTTTGTAGCCCAGGTTGGTCTTGCACTCGCAACAATCCTCCTGCCTCAGCCTCTGGAGTGCTGGGATTACAGGCATGCATCACCAAGCCCAGCAATAAACACACTTTTACAAAGGAGGTTTTAAAAACACTCCATTTACTTTGGTAAAATACAAACCAAATGTTTCAAATAGGAAAGGAAGCAGTATGAGCTTCCCGTAGATCAGTTAGGAAGGCAAAATAGCAAGAGAAAAGTTACAAACAGCTCTCTGCGTCTAAAATCCTCAAACAGGTTCTTCACTTCAAATAACTGTCGCATTAGTACTTTGGATTTTAAAAGTAGTGAAAATATTTAGTAGTCAACTACGCTCACCTTCGTGGTGTATCTAGTTAACACGTAAAAAATTTTGAAAAATTCACTAACATTTTGCTGAGCATACAAACTACCTTTAGGCACTTGATTCACCTGTTACAGACATCAAATTAGTTCTTTAGCTTGTTTTAGTACGCTAGTTAAATCTGAGTTTACATTGCATCTGCCTTCTAAAATATCTAAAATATTCCAGAATATTATGTCTTTCATGTCATCTCATGGAATAACAAAGGTGGTATTTGCCTTCACTCGCTACAGAAAAACTAACCACTGCACTAATCAAAGTCATCACTCCACAAAAAATATGTTCATCTTGTTCTGAGACTGCTGCTCAGAGGATGAGTGAAAGAAATGTAACACCGTAAGAGGCCTTAGGCCCCATCCACTTCATCCTGTCTACAACTAAAGCACAGTAAGTATTTGCAGAACCCCTGAGAATCAACACTTTCCATGCATCTTTGTATCTTTAGCCCAGACTGCATAACATGCACAAAGCCACTGGTGTTTCCCTCCACCTTGCCTATCCTACAATGATCCAACTTACTATTCAAGATGAAACCAAGAATTAATATCACAAAACTACGGACTTCTTAACAGAACTATTCTAAAAGAAGGGAATGGTAAGCGAGGATCATGGCACTTTCTGAGATCTCTATTACAGATGTACATATCTTCGCTGTCTCTGGTGAGGGTTTCTCTTAGGCAGGAACGATTTTCAAGCGACCCTGCAATGGCGAAAGTGCATTTAGAGTGCGCTCCTTTCCGTCTGTCTGTCCTACCACCGGAAGCCTACAGTTTATCAGGTGGCTTTTCCTGGGGCAAACCAGGACAGCTCAGAGAGGGCGGACCTTAAGAGGTCTAGGGAGGGGCCGTTAGCTGCATTTCACGTTTGACAATCAGCTGCGGGGCTGTGGCCTGCGAAAAAACAACACACGGATTCGCGCAACACCGACTCCTCCAAAGCCCCCCGCGGCTCCCGAGCCTCTCTGGCCGTGGGCGCTCGCCCCCCGCCGGCGCCTCTCCAGGGTCCCCCGCCCGTCCCGGGGAGTCCGGGCCTCTCACCCGCTGCCAAGTGCTCACACAGCCTCAGCGGGACCCTCAGAGCGTAAAGCAGCCCCAGCCCCGCCACGAACCACAATGAGGCCCCAGCCCCTGCCAGCCCGGCCCGCAGGCGCTCCTTCCAGCCCAGCGGAGGGCTCAGGCCGCGAGCAGTCGCAGGAGAAAACGCTGCGGCAGTCGCGGCTTCACTCAAGTAGTCCCTGTCCGCCATCTTGCCACTCCCGCAGGCGCCGGCAGCTGGGAGGGGAGAGGGGCAGGAAACCCGGAGTCGGGAATCCTGGGATAGTGACGGGCCTGCAGCCGGCTCTGTCAGGGCTGCGTCCTGGGGAACCCCGCCGCGAAGGTCTAGAAAGTGGCAGAGCCAGTCCCAAGACTGCTACAAAACGGCTCCTTCGGGGCGGGGTGGGGGTGAGAGCGGCACCCCTTCTAGAGGATCTGGACTACGATGTGACGCTGAAGGGACGTGGTTTTGCTTCTGTACGAGTTGAGGTCATCTTCCACCCTATTCCCCAGGTTGGAAAAGCCACCGGTCTTTCCCGGGGCTGAGCAGCTTTTAGCACTTGGGACTCCGCTGCCATGGCGATTACTGGTACCCGGAAAAGCTAGGAGTAGCAATAGCTTTTTGATTGGATGGAGCCCAGACCCACGACCAGTCCAAACACGCCGCAAACATCCAACAGATGAATAAGTAAATAACTAACTCGGGGAAACAGAATAAACCTCAAGCCCCTGTAGGGAAAGCGGGCTTCCTGGGGTGCGAGAGCTGGAAACCGTCACCCCCGCGCGCCTTACTGACATGGCGCCGTCGCGGTCGGCGTTTCCGGGCGGGCCCTTCCGACAGCGAGGCCATCACTCAGCTTCCTTCCCGGCCTGCCTCGCGCCCGCGGCCGGGCTGGGCCAGAGCAGCCCAAGATGGCGGACTTTGAGGATCGGGTGTCCGATGAGGAGAAGGTAAGGGGGTCCGCCTTCCTCTCTCTCACCTCCTCCCGCGACAGGCCACAAGGGTCTGACCCAGCTGCGGCGGAAAGCCTGGCTGTGTCCCCAAGAAAAAGCAGGTTCTTGGCTCGAGTTGGCAAATGTTCTCTGTAGTCGGGACACTTCCCTTTTAAGGGGCTTTCCCCTGCCTCACGGTGGCCCCAGTTCTCCATTCAAGTCTGTGCTTTTCCTTCTAGATCTGACGCACAGCCTTCCTGCGTGGCCTTCCTGCGAGAGAAGAGAGTTGCCCTTATTGAATCTTGACTGTAGACTTCTGTACTTATAAGACGGGGCGATGGCGGTATCGCGACTTACTGAGCAGCAGTTATTTTGCAGCCCTTGGGCTTTTGGGGCGCTCGCCCTCCCACCACTAATTTTTAGGTGTGATTGGGGCGAGTTCAGGGCGAGTCACTTCCTGATCTAGGTGGCCTGTTAACTTCCCTTTTGCCCCTCCTTGCTCAGGAAGTGATCTTGCTGTCACTACTGCTCGACGGGGAGAGGTCTCCAGATTTTCATCTTACTTACTGCACATCCACTTTCCCACTTTTACCTCTTCGCCGTAATAAGCGAGTAAGCCTCAGGGCATTTGCTTCAGCATTTGAACACCGCTCTTCTGCAGATGCTCCCTTGATTGTCGGTACATTGGCCTCCAGGTGACTCCATCCCTGGCATCTTACCTTGTCTTAATGATAATTTTTTAAAAAACAGTTTTCAGCTTCTTAAGAAATTCAGAGTAACCAGTGGATTTTTTTTTAACTCTAAGTTTTATATAGCGCATAATTATCATGTTAACACATTGAGGTATACACCCAAAAAAGTAGCTTGCTTTCTTTGATGCACTATGGTGGTGTCTTTGATTACAGTTGGACCTGTCAGCGTGCAATTTGTGTACATACTTATTTCTTTAAAAATGGCTTAAATACAAGAGCATGTTTGAGGTGGGATAACTATTTCCCTGACAACTGTACACCTTTTGAAAAGTTTGTCAAGTTTTCAGTAAATACAACATTTTATGGCCCGTAAAAATTACAATATTTTCACCTGATGTTCCCTTTAGGACAAGAATTAATATCTTTTGTTTCCTATGGTGAAATATCACAAAGTGTGCATCCTTGAGTGTGTTCTGCAAACCCATCTGGGTTCTTTCTACTTTTATTTCTATAATAAAAATAGATTGGGGAGCATGGTGGAGGCTGAGGCAGCAGGATTGCTGTAAATTCAAGGCCAGCCTGAATTGTATATTGAGACCCTGTCTCAAGAAAAAAAGAAAAACAAAAAGATTGGGATAGAAGAAGGAACTGTTAATGATCCAGGAACATGTTCTCTTATTTGGAAATTGTCATAAATGTTGAAGGTTTAGGGTAAAAAAAGGTATGTGTGACTTTATGCTGGAAAGAAAACTATAAAAAATATTTATTGAGATAATGATTCAGATAAATTACAGTGAAAATCCTGAAATAAAATACTTATTAACCCAATTGATGGGCCACTTATTTGAAACAAAAATATTGTCACAACAAAATTTCACAAAGAAATTAGGTAAGACTGGGTGTGGTGGTCCATACCTAAAATCTCTGCAGTTGGGAGGCTGAGGCAGTATCAAGTTCAAAGCCAGCCTAGGCAACTTAGCAAGACTCTGTCTCAAAATTTAAAAAATTAAAAGGTAGCTCAGAAACAGAGCACCCCTATTCAGTCCCCAGTTTCATAAAAGAAAAAAAAATTGGGGTAAAAATAAACTTTTAAGTTTATTGTGTCCACATGATACACATTTACCAATTTACCGTGTTGTTGGGCTTTGTCTTTGATGCTGGGTTAGAATGCTTTTTTAACTAAATTGGGAAAATATATATGTATTTCAAAGTGCCAATTAAGGTGTCTTAGGCTACTGACAGTGTTTGAGTTAATACTATCATTAATTGTATAACAGATCTGTGATGTTTCCCCTTCTAGCACATTTCTTTTCTTGCTTAACTTTAATGACATAATAAGCAAATCGTAACTAGTAAGATAAATCTGCCAAAAAGTATTAATGAATTTTACTCATACTTAGTAAAAGAGTTTTTAGATTGTCTTCATTAGTGTGAATACTTACCCACACATAGTTGGTATGGTAAAAATCCATATTGTTTTGTTTGTTTGGTTTTGGTTTTGTTTTTTTGAGACAGGGTCTTGCTATGCAGTTCAGGCTGGCCTTGAGCTCACTTTGGAACCCGGGCCAGTCTCCGCAATGATCCTCCTGCCTCAGCCTCCTGAGGGTTAAGATTATAGGTGTGCACCACCCCTCTGGCCATAGTTCAGTCTGGTCCTGAAACCAGGTTGACCTTGACCTCAAGGCATTCCTCCTTCAATTTTCCCAATTTAATGCAAGGATCACAGATATGCACCACTACCCCCAGCCAAAATTCCATATGATTTTGAGATTACTGAAATTTTGTTAGGTACCTATTCCAAGATGAAAGCTATTTGTTTATCTCTGTGAATCTGTTAGGTAAAAGGGGCTTTAACTTGTAAGATACAGTGTTTGAATTTTCCTTCAATGTCATACCTACCTTGACCCCTATCCTCTACCCTTCAGATTCCTTTTAACTAATTCAAGGATTGAGAAAGTATTTTTCTAACAGGACTTGTTGATATGTCTTGGAGTCATAAATAGTAGTAACCCTTAAATGAGATTTTTGTCCTACAAGATGTTCATAATAAACTTAACTTTAAAAATCCAAATATTTTGAGCTTCAGTTTGTATTTTAAATTCTTGAAGGAATTCTAAAACAATTTTTTTTTCTTTTTCGGCCTTGAAAACTCAACTTCCTTTCTTTTGGGTGGGGCTGTTTTTTGAGAGTCATGTTGCTCAACTTGGCCTTCTACCTCAGGATCTTCCTGCCTCAGCCTCTGGAGTGCTGGGATTATAGGCATGCCCAGCTGATTTGGGTTTTTTTTTTAAGACATGCACACTGTGATACCAAATATATTTTAATATTGCTTTTCAACTTGGATACATTTTCAGAAGGCAATAAAGGCTGTGGTAAATTTGATGATGGTACTCTGATTTCCTTGCAGGAATTTCTGTAAAAGCTAGTAAAATCATCCATTCTCATAACTAACTGCAAAAGTTTTTATCACTTTGTAAACAGGAAGTTGGTTTTTTTTGTAACTTCTGGCTGGTTACCTGAAATGGTCATGATGAGCTGTCTAAATAAAGCAGGAAGTGAAAAGTGTAATGGCATGCAGAAATAAATGCTTTTAGTTTTATCCTGGAGTTCACTTTAGAATGAGCTCCATTCTTCTAGTCATGTATACTCTTTATTTGGTTCTAAATGCTTAGCAAGTCTAAGAGATCCTAATTAGGAAACTTGAACTGTGAGATGAACTTCTTGTTTGGGTTCCATTCTTTGTCTGTTTCCGTTATTTTATGATTCAGCATTTTTTAAACATACAAAGAGAATTTTAGGACTGAAGAAAAGTGTGATTAGCATGCTTTATTCTCTTGAGCCTAACTAGTAGAATACTTTGTGTACAACTTCAAAAATACCATAACTGGTGCTGGGGATTTAGCTCAGCGGCAAAGCACCTGCCTGGCAAGTGCAAGGTCGTGAGTTCGGTTCCCGGTGCCGGAGAAAAACCAAAAAAACCAAAAAAAAAAAAAAACAAAAATACCGTAACTGAGAGATGGACCTGTGTATTTTTAGACAGTGGTGCCAGTTGTAAGCCATTGTTTTGAGAAACAGATTTATTGAAATTATTTGCAAGCGATGTAGAATATGTCATAAGTGGATGAAGGGATTTTCTGGTAGAGCTCATGAAAATGTACTTTGAGGGTAGATTTCCTTAAATATATGTTACCTCCTTAATTAACTAAATGAGTTATTACTCTTGTATAGTCAACTAAACCTAAAGTTTATTTGCCATGACAGTTTTCTAACAAGTTATCAATTAGCATTAATACTATTACCATTTCCTTTTAGTTTTGCCAAGTAGTGGTCATATAAGCTTTTACAAAATCCTGAATCAGAAGCACAAAGCCTAGGCAGGTGCAAACACGTGCCCACTCTTTTGTTAAAAGTATAGGTTTGTCATAATTTATTCCAGATATGTAGCTGAATGTCATAGCGCCTGCCTGGCAAGCGCGAGGTCCTGAGTTTGATTCCTAGTGCCAAATAATAATAATTTACTCTGGAGCATTAAACTGTTCCATTAAAACCACCCTTAGCACACCTGTAATACCAACACTGGGAGGCTGAGATAGGAGGATGGCAAATTTGAGCCCAGCCTGAACAATTTAGTGCTCTCATCTCAAAATTATTTTTAAAGGGCTGGGGATGTAATTGAGTGTGAAGAACCTGAGTTCAATTCTCAGTATCTCTGGGGGAGAGTGGGAGACCTTAATGCTAGACAAAGTAGTACAGTTAGTCAGAAAATTCAGGCATCAGTTGTGTCTGATGATAATCCTTGTTTGTTTTTTTTTAACTGTACCAATTTGTTTCATATATTATGAATGAAAAACCAGAATAGAGCCATCCATCTAAGAAATTATAAATGAGGTATTGTGGTAGAGTGGAAAAGAATGATTGCAATTGTTAGGAAATTTAGCCTCTCCCTCTTGTGTATCTAGCCACTTGAATGATTTTGGAAAAAACTACTTGAGTGGACCTCAGTTTCCTTCTAAAATAAGGAGGCAAGGGGAATTGGATCAAACTGCCCCAACAGTTTAATGCACTTTTTCAAACTCTAATAAAGAAATCTCTATTTTTAAAATTAAAACATTTCAAGCTGGGCATGGTGGCGCACACCTGTAATCCCAGCACTCTGGAGACTGAGGCAGGAGGATCGTTGCAAGTTTGAGACCAGCCTGGGCTACAAAGTGAGCTCAAGGCCAGCCTGAACTGCAGGATGAGACCCTGTCTTAAAAAGACAATAAATAAATAAATTTATTTATTTATTTATTCATTTATTTATTTATTTCAGGAAGTTCTTACTTT